ACATCGATGCGAAAAAAAAAAGAAAGGATTCGGCAGCAGGGATCTAATTAGCTGAGTTATAGCGTGGTTTTAACTTTGAGATCGAAATATAAGCTCAGTCATATGAATTCGACGGGGAGTGTAGTGCTAATGCCCTTTATTTCACGGACGCACGTGCATGAGTTGCTAGATAATAAGCCGAAAGGCTCGCACGATGTGCAATTTTAATCGTGCTGCGGCTCAGCTTCGAAAGTTTCGACACATTTACGTAACTTTTCGCCGATATGGCTTCGTCCTGCTCGAGTGCGCGCACTGGCAACACATCACTTCAGATTTGAGTAGCGGGGTGGATTTACCCAATGGCTCTTGCCTCTGACAATGTTGGTGGTTGCCAAGTTATCACGAATGCCTAGAACTGACTGATACAGTGTCCCAATTCTTTTCCCGGCAACAGATTATATATACTAAGCTCTCTGTGAGCCACCAGAGGTGCACTTAAGTGACCTGCACAGTTCTCTAATGCTACCTAGAGGAAAAAAAAAACACGTAAATAAGGATGCGGATAATATTGGTTGCACATTTGTAATGAGAGTAAATGGCTTGCGAATGAATCGCTTATATATATATATATATATATATATATATATATATATAATATATATACCTGTTTCTCTTCCTTGTCACTAAATATTGCGCCTTGTGAACATTGAATTTTCCTTGCATATTCTATCCCGTTGCTTGGTATTAATAGCTTAGCCCCAGAAATGTTTATTTTTATTTTTCAGGATTGATTGATATGTGCGATTTGATGATGATGATATGTGGGGTTTAACGTCTCAAAACCACCATATGATTATGAGAGACGCCGTAGTGGAGGGCTCCGGAAATTTCGACCACCTGGGATTCTTTAACGTGCACCCAAATCTGAGCACACGGGCCTACAACATTTCCGCCTCCATCGAAAATGCAGCCGCCGCAGCCGGGATTCAATACCGCAACCTGCGGGTCAGCAGCCGAGTACCTTAGCCACTAGACCACCACGGCGGGGCGATATGTGCGATCTAACGTCCCAAAAAATTTTTTTTGGTAGGGGGGGGGGGGGCATCATACTTTATGTATGTTTGCGCGTGCATTTGTATGTATGCATGTATATGCACAGATGCACAGTTTACTCAAATCTTTAAATATATCGTGTGTATATTTTCTGTGTATCTTCGGCGTATGACTGAATGAAGTTCCATAATGGGGAAGGGAAGTGGGTACCCGCATACCACATGCACAGAAAACCATTTTTTTTTAAAAAACTTCCTTGCACCATGTTGCTCTGACACACAAAAAAATGTCGCCGCTGTGCACGACAGTTAAAATGATTTGGGCGAGTGCACACAATGAGAAAGAGTTGAATCCCCCCTCGCTCCAGCTATGCCAATAGTCTATGATCACACCGGTGGAGCAGTTCCCGGCTGCGCTTAAGTGGGTATAAAATCCGAAAATGATCGTGTGCTTAGATTTTGGTCATCTTGAAAGAACTCCAGGGGACCCAAATACATTCAGACAGCTCCGCCACAGCGTGTCCCATATGATCGTATTGCGGTTTCGACAAGCAAAACCACAGAATTAAAATTTGAAAATCGAATTGTGTCTGCGTGATTTAGGTCTTTCCAGCTGGCCTGCAAGACTGACCAGGGACCATGGACAGCCCGTGGGTTGCGTTTCTCGCTCTCGCTCTCTTGTGCCCTTCCTCGAGCTGTGCGCACACGCTGGTCAAGTCGTTCGTGGCCAGCTCCTTCCAGGAAATGCAGACGGGTCCGCACGGAACGGTACTGGGTCGACAGGGATACCACGACTCGTCAGGCCACGGACGCTTCATTTCCTACGTGGTCGACAGGGAAGGCCGCGTCCATTTGAAGCACGACCCATCGGTGAAGGCTATCCTGACTCACATGGAGCAGTCGGCACTACCGCATGACTTTCACCCGTTCAGGTACACACAGATACGCCGGAGTATACATAGTTGAAAGGACCGGGAGGCGTTATGTACCACTTACATCCTGTTTATATGTGCCGTGAACTCGGTCTTTTTTGTACAGTTTTGACGTACGCGCACGCTTGAAAGGGAGAGATTTTGTAATCTTGCATAAAAAATATTTTACCAGCGGTGACGTAAATTAGGAAGTTGGGGGGGGGGGGGGGGGTCAGGTTTTTGGACGCCTTTTGTGTTCAGGCTGCCGGGTATACCCTTTGCAAGCGTCCTTCCTTCAGATTTAGCTTTCGAACATCATATCTGAATAGCTTGACCGTTAAGTGTCACTCACTCGGGGAAAGCCAACTGAAAGCTGAAGCACTTCCAAACAGCGGAAACGAAGTACGAAAGTGAAATATGCTTTTCCTTTCAAAACGTACTGAGGGCACGAGCTTCCCGAGGTACTATGCGGATTAATTGTGACGTGCTAGCCTGCAACATTTCCGCCTCCATCGGAAATGCAGCCGCCGCAGCCGGGATTCGATCCCGCGACCTGCGGGCCAGCAGCCGAGTACCTTAACCACTAGACCACTACGGCGGGGCACGGTAGCACACAGAGCACGACAGCCACTTTAGCATGACACTCGACCGCATCTGCCAGCCCGGCCCCCCTTCAGATCAAAGTGATGCCCCCCCCCCCTCCCCCCGAAAAAAAAATTCAGCCTACGCCTTTGGATCGAGACCCATTAATTTATTTATACACCCTCATACCTAGAGGAATTAGGTAAGGAAGTTGTTACAAAGAAAACAGAACACACATATTACAAAGTGAGCAAGCGCCTAACATTCTAATTATATAACGTTAGCTAAGGCATTCTTGAACAGGCGGAAATGTTGTAGGCCCGTGTGCTCAGATTTGGGTGCACGGTAAAGAACCCCAGGTGGTCGAAATTTCCGGAGCCCTCCACTACGGCGTCTCTCATAATCATGTGGTGGTTTTGGGACGTTAAACTCCACATATCAATCAAGGCATTCTTGAACAGTTGGTGATTTGTGATGGAGTTTACAGATGCGGAGAAAGGTGATTCCACTCATCTGATGTCCTTGGTAGAAAAGACTGAAAAAAAAAGGGCGTCAGGTATTTTAAAGCGAACGCGTACTTATTGTACACGTTCGCATCCCCCCCCCCCCCCCCCCCTGTATTTGAAAGCGAGTAATATTAATTTATTTTTGTACGATTAAAAGTAGAACAATCTTGCGTTGACCAAAACAGCTGCCATTGCAAGATGTGTGTCCTCCTTTTGTTGTTTTCGTAGAATTATGCCGCTGCTTACCGGAGTCCACCAATCTGCCCCCCCCCCTTCCCCATGGTTAACCTACAGTTAACCGACAGGGTGCACTCGTACACACACGCCAGTGCATGCACAAGTAAATAAACAAACATCTCATATCTGCATTGAGATTTCGCTTATTTGAACTCGATGCATGCTGCCTAAAAACGCTGAGTTAATGAAAATGCGTCCTCACTTGCTGATTCATACTGCGTGACTGCGGCTCACATACGACAAACTTTCACTTGGAGGCAGCTACATGTACCGCATGCTTTTCGAATAATCATCACACACTAAACCAAACCATGATTTCCGTGACGTTAATATATTTTTTTCTGCACAATTCTTTTTTCCTTTATTATTTTTTTAACGGTAGCCTTTGAAGTTCACGCAAATTCTTATTCCCTGAGTATATAACGAGTCAATAACAAGACACAAATGCAGAATATGCAGAACAAGCCCTTAGCCAGAGGTAAAAGGAAGGCACTACCCCCCCCCCCCCCCCTCCCGAAATTCGAATGAAGCGGGATGTTTTGCCGAGAATAAATATGAAAATAGGGGGGGGGGATTCCTGTACGGGCCTGATGCAGAAGCTTTCATTACCTTGATTTCTGAACATTATTAGCTTAAACATGAGAAAAACACCATTAATCGTTTCAAACTCTAGAATTACATAGTAGGTTTTGCTTATCTAGGCTACTCGATGACTGAAATCGATTGAATACACTATGTGAAATACTTGTTGTTTACTTTTAAGACACATAAGATAAAATAGAGTAACTTGTTCATTAATAATGGTATACATTTCTTTATCTGTAACAGGTCACTACTGAATCCCGCTTTGGGTCTGTCTTCGTTGCATCTTCTACCGCGACTCCACCAACCATTCATGTGTCTCCTGAATCCTTGCAGCGCTGATCCATACTACAACCAGCATAGCGATCAGTATATGCGAATGATGCACGGTATTGCTTAGGCTCACATCGCATTGCCTTCCGACGAAATATTCCTGTTGGATGGTAGCACCAAATTCTTTCTTGCTGGCGTTTTGTGTTTAGCCGACAATAAAAGATACACAAATTAGAACATGACTTTTTCGTTTTGCGTTTCTTAATGCTAGCCTGGAGGATTCAGTCGGTGAGTCCAATCGCTGTTTTTTTATAAAATGCAGTGCCAACACATAATGTCAACAAGGCCAAATCGCCACCTTAACAAACACATGAATATATTATAAAAGGGCTCCATTCACAGTGTGTTCTTTCACAAACAGATATGGACGCTTCGTTTTATGATTAAAAAAGACAGACGGACGGACGAACAGACGTACAGGCAGAGAGTGACGGACACAGACGGACGGACGGACGGACGGACGGACGGACGGACGGATAGAGACACACAAATCCCAGAGAGCGAGAGAGAGAAAGCGATTACAGACGCGCGAGTTTTCCTCAATGTTCATTTGAACTTCCCGCGTTATCACATTAAGCCTCACAAAAAGTTGCTTTGATTTCGTACTTTACTGTTAGTGTCTAACATCAATAATAAACGGTATGCTAAACAAATTTATTAAGTTTATTATAAGTTCAAAAAATAACGTTCTACTAATTTATTTGTTTTTTTTTGAGAGTTGCTTTAATCTCTGAGGACACGTGCATTATGCCGGTAGACCTTGCAGATGGCAGCACCATGTGCACAACAAACCCGCTCGCCCAGCGATGTTGCGATTACGGGCTACCTTCGGGTTCGTTCGTAACAGGATAAACTGGCTCCCGTTACGGCATCTTCCTGTGCCACTTTTATTCGATGGCGGAAAGTGAGCTGAAGCGTATTTGCCTGCGACCCAGAACTTGGCCGGGCGGCAGACTCTTGTGCTCGTAACCCATTTGAGCCGCCGCATGGAAGTGACAGATTGTGAGCGCTGGCTCGCTGCGCGAAACCGGTGAAACCATGGAGGATCAGGATCTGGCGATCTTGTGTTTCCAGCACTGCGAGAAGCGTGCCAACGTGTTGTGTCTGCGTTTGCCGAAGTGCTGCCCCATCTGTGGCCTTGAGCTCGAAGACGCCGAACTTCGAGTACCTCCGTTCAGGATACCGTATCCTTTCCGAAACTCGCAGAAATCCCCGTGCTGCGTCGTCATCAAGCCGTCGAAAGGAGACTTTCTGCAGTAAGGGCAACGCCACATTTTAGTCCGTTATTATTTGTGTCACCTGTGCGCACTGTCACACATGCACGCTGTGTCTACGCTTCCTTGCGGTGTTGTGCAACCTTGTTACACGTAACTTAGAAGTGTGGCAGCTTGGGCTAGTTGGTATGGCATGACGATAGTTATAGCGCGAGAACAAAACGACGACACAGAGACAAGACGCGAACAATGTTAAAAACGGGAAAGATGGTTTTCTTGCCCAGCACTGCATTGAGTGCAAGTGTGTTCCCCTCTTCGAGGAAACAGCGACGTTGTACAAACACAGAGATGTAAGCACCCGGGTCATTGTCGAGGCTGCGCAGATGGCACGCGAACAGGTGCCTTGTATTAGCAAGCCCTCCGTGGCCTTGTCCGAGAAGGAGCGCAGGTTCCTCGAAGGATTCGGTGCGGGCAGGTAACGCGAACAGGTGCCTTGGATTAGCAAGCCCTCCGTGGCTTAGTCCGAGAAGGAACGCAGGTTCCTCGAAGGATTCGGTGCGGGCAGGTAGCTTTACCTTTCTGGTTCGGTTTCTTCTAGGCTTTTCTTTGCTGTTTTTCAGTGCCTTTGTATTTGTGCTGTTTGTTTTTGGTTTTCTTACTCATGTTCTGCTCTTGTGCCATGGTCACTGTCTCCTCTATATATTTTCGTGCTCTGCGCAATAAACTCAGTTGGAAGTTAGCGCTCGTGTCTTTCGTGTCCTTCTTGTCTCTGTGTCGTCGTTTTGTTCTCGCGCTATAACTATCGTCTTGTTACACGGTTTCAGCTGGTTTAGCTTGCATGCTCCGCGAAATAGTGCCGTGTTTTACTGAGGAAACACGAGTGCATGCTTGGCAATGGCTTGAACGGTGGTACCTTTGTTGAGGTCTAGAGAGAATTGCAGCCAACTCATGCCATTCGAACCTTTCTTTGCAGTCTGTATTCGAGCTCATTGGACCTGCATACCGGAGTGACGGATTCTAAAGGTAAAACTAATGCTGATCCACAGCTTTGCCAAACCAACTTACTCGGTGATTGGTTGCTATGATGTTGCCGTTTAGAAGTATGCGTAGGCAACGTCACGGATTTGTGCTCCGTAATCACCCGCGAATATTAAATTTGGTGTTACAAGCTCCTAATCGATGGATCACGCTGTTCAAGTGAATTTTTGCCGTAGTTCACGCCTGTGTGACTGCCGCTTCGATAGGTAGATGAATTGTAGTGCGTGACTTACTACGTTAAGAAGTTTGTGAGAAGCTATCGACTGCTTGCTTTTATTTTTTTCGTTCTCCATCAGGTCAAGTTCACGAATATGACAAGGAAGGACTCAAAGTTGCCAAGCAGTCCGCCTGGCCGCAGTGTATTGCCGTGCCTGTCATCACGGACGAGGGAACAGCCTGGCATGAATTCTGGGATTACACGTTGTCCGTCACTGAAAGTCAGGATGCGTGGGACAGCAAGAGGTATGTTGTTGTGTTATGCAGGCAATCTGTTTGCTTATCTCGCAGCTTTTACTGCCCTGAACTGTGTTGAGTGCCTGCATGCTTACTTGAGCTTTTGAGCCGTTCACGTTTTCGTTTTATCTTATTCCTTTCGGTTAGTTCCTTCCTTTTTTGTTTCGGCAATTACAGTGTGGTGCAGGAGTGTTTGCTTATTTAGGAAAGCCAGTGAAAAAATGTAAGCCTTTGCAGTACTTGAGCACGCGATGTAGACTCTTCGTACTGATTTGCTTGCTGTACATCAGAAGTAAGTTACCACCGCTTAGCCTCCCGTGTCAAAATGCTTTAACGCGAATAATCCTCTGCTTCATTTCAGCCACTTTGTGGTTGGCAGGCTCTCGTCCTGCCTCAATCTGGGCCTCCTTAAAATTAAGAGTGTACAACTGACATAATCTCTGTTTCCTTGCTCAACATTTCAATCCTACAGCTAAGTGTTGAAGTATGTGTGCCAAAAATTCACACACACTTCCTTCATGTCAAAGCAAGCTAGCACTCTAACATGTTGTATTCAAGTTGCATCGTCTTTGGCAATGTGCAACATTTCTGTGCTGCTACTTTCCTTGTTGCAGCCAATGCTACATGGAAACAGTGCGACATTGTACTCTTCCTTTGCAATCAGCCCAAGAGGAAGAGGTCATGACATTCGTTTCCCGTAGCACTGATATTGTTACTTTTATGTTGTCCACGTGACACAGATATGGCTAAATATGACTTTGTAGCACTTAAATCGCAGATGATTTTACAGACGGTGCAGTTCATTATCCTTGTGGAACACAGCTCTCAGAGTCTTGTAATATTGCCCATAACAGACAGAGTGGATGCAATGCCATCATTATCATGCAATATTTACGGTTTTCAGTTGTCATCCTACTGCACACATTGCACGTATGCTTACGTCAGAAGCAGAATCAATTGCAGCACACAGTCATATCCATCCACTTGGTGGCATTTTGTACAGCCCCAAATGACCAACTAACTGCAAATTGTTTTACATAATATTGACTTTCACTGTTTGTGGGATCTGCATAGCTGTTCCTCAAGTCGCTCAAGTATCAAAGCTTGCGTGGCCTTTTAAAAGTTCTTAATAATCACCTTGAAATATATAGTAGAACCACATCATTGAATTTCTGGGGGACAGAGCAAAACGAACACATGAACTGAGAAAACACGGCATCTGATATAAATTTTTCACTCAGGCAAATTTTTGTTGGCGAGCAGAATGTGGCAGGACAGAGTTCCAGCTACAAAAATTTTTTGGCTTGTGTCTCGTATGGCAGAAATATTAGTCTGTGCCAAACTTGTATGTTCCAACAGACTATTAGCCACTTGCCTTAATATCAGTACGACACTATGAGATATTTTTTGTTCCATGTGAAAATGGCGCCAAATGATGATACTGTGAGCATTTTCAGCAGTGACATGTGACACTCTATGTATAGAGGCTATCAAAGTTCTTGGATCTAACATCCAGGAAGAAAAATGTAAAAAAAACAGGAAGCCTCCGTAGGGCATGTAACATTATAAGAGCATGAGAGCCGGTGAAAATGTAACTGGGACACGTGAACTATGTTTTACTTGAACTTTAATTTCTGCTGTGCTAGTTTTTAATAGCACTTGAACATAGACACTGAAGATGAATGCCGAATACCATAGATTTCTCATGAAACTCTGAAATGTACTATGGGAAACCAAAATCACCCAAAAAAAGTAGATTTCGCCTTTATGCGGGATGCTTCACATGTTAGTATAAGCTGCCATGGCCTTCACTATTTATTGTTATTATTCTGTCACTGCTACTCAGTTTGTAAATCTATTGACCACCCTGCTTGGATCATGAATGTTCAGTATTGAATAAATAAATAATAAAAGAGTTTCCTTTTTCATAAATTAATGCTCATCAAAGTAATTTTCTTTGTTCCAGGTACGATGAAAAGGAGCACAACTGTTACTCGTTTGTGATAGCGTTCCTGCGAAACCTACAGATACCACAGCTGCGACCGTCATTGAAGGACAAGCTCACCTTTTCCTCAGATTTCCTTGTCCCACAAACGAGGAATGTTGCCCGGTACATTGCACTTTACAGAAAGCTCATGCAAGATGGCACTTACGTCAAGCGGTGCGAGCCATATCGAACACAGACTTAGAAGTTCAGTAAATATAACGAGCACAGAGCGGAATTGCGACGAAAAAAGGAGCCGGGACTTGTGTTGCTCGATCCCTCCTCCTGTTGTTCCCGTATTCCGATTTATGGTTATTTATCTTCGCTGAATATATACGAGTGAGCCTAGCTACAGGTAGTGTCAACAATTGGCTAGTGCCTTCTCTCATTAGGTGGACCTATAAGTGTTACTGAACAAAAACAACTGAATTTCACGAGCATGAAAATTGAAAATTTGTGACTAATTAGCCAACCTATAAGCTGAATATGGTTTATAAGGTACACTCGGACCTCATTATAACAAAGTTGCATCTGCCACAAAAATACTTCAATATATCCAAAAATTTTTTATAAACGAATATTCGTAACACTATATTTATGGCGAATCTAGTGGTCGCTTACTTCGTTATAACCAATATTTCTTTATATTTGAATTTGTTATATTGAGGTTTGAGTGTATAAGTGCTCTGTATATAAAATTAAATTCTTTTAAACAGCTTGTGAATATCAAATAGAGAATAATGTGATTAAATTTACTGTGTTAAAGGAAGAGAAAAAGAATGGGCGTCTAAGCTTAGCTTTCAATGCCATTTCCACCTTCTATGTGTAGCTTGCAACACTGCCTACGATGATGGATATTTTCCAACTAAGCCAATCAAACAGTTGACTTAAAAGACACGTGTGTCTTCTCTTCTGGAACATTTCATGTTTTTTTTTCTTTGTCTTTTGCAAAATATTTGAAAGAAAAAATATTCCGACATATGCTGTTGCTTGGCGTCTGATAAATAAGAAGCCTGCTCTCACTGGCGTTCAGTCATTGTTGTACGGTGATTTACATTCTTGTATAGCGTATGTTTTTACACACATAGGTTGAATCTGCATTTGCTTTGATACTGAGACACAGCCCTTGTTTGATTTTGCACAGTTCCAAAGTTATGTGTGATGTTGCAGCAAGGCTCCAATTTATCACATTTCATTTCATATGTGCAGAAGTTCTCAAACTGCTAATCTACTCTTACCTCCCGGTGTGTGTCATTTTACTTGTGCTACCATTGCTTTACTTTGGAAGTTTGTGTGCTCTTACTTTCCTTATTACCTTATTGTCTGGACCATAGTGTGCACATGGTGCATAATACATGAAGGCTGATTGAGGCAAAAGATGAAATGCCTCTGTTTAGATGTGCAGAATCCACTGTATAGTTCAAAAAGACTAACTTGATTTGAAAGTGCTTTTCCTTTTTGTTTCTTTTGCTCATGCATGCGCTCAGCTAAACTGAGCTTGAAGCGAGCTCTTAATATATTTCTTTAGTAGTACTTGCTCACATTTCGCGAGCTGCCAATATGAAGTGAATGACTACATTGCAAATATGCTGCTATAGACGTCTGACTGAGTTTCGTTGCCACACAGCGCCGCCTGTAGGAACAGTATTGGGTAGCGCAAAGTCAGACTTACCTGAAAAATTTGCTGTGCAACCAGGTGCAACTGGCGTGTGTGAAACAAAGATTGAGCTAAATATTGCACGTGCTTGCTCTAGTGCACAAGCACGTGCAATATTCAAAAAGAGAGCTATGAATTTCTCTCTGCTAGTCAGATGACTTACCGAATTGGCATGAAGTGCTAGCCGGATCACTCGCCAAAGCAATGGCAAAACGAACAGATGCCACAGCTCTGGACGCTACGAAAAAACTTCACATTCAACGCTGGTGTTGCATTGTGAATTGCCATGAATGTACAGGACTGAAAATGATGTTTAGTTTTACTGAATTTGGTAGCTGTTGTATGAATCAGAATGACGAGAGTGTTGGATATGGGCCATCGTGAATTTATTGGGTGAGCGAAATACTCGCGTTCTCCTCAGCTGGTCACTTGAGAAGTGTGATAATGTGGCTCTTACGTTATTGTTTTAAGTAGTTCTGATGCATAGCTGTGGTATTGTTGACTATGAAGCCCGGCAGAGCCTCTGACCGTGGTGGCTGCCGTGTAGAAGTTAAATGCAATCGGAAGATGCGCATGATAAAGATAGGGCACAAGGTGCTAACTCCGGAACCCTTCCGCCATCAGGGACCAACTCTGGGCCGTCCAGCAGTCCTGCGAGGCGGGGGTGATGCAAGGCCCCGACATCGATAGTTTCCTAATATACACTAGAGGGAACTCTGGCGCTAGTGTCTATGGGAGCTGCAACGCACGGCATTTCAGCGAGCTTGGGAATGATGGGTAGTACACGCATTTGTCTAATCTTTGTACTTCTGGCCTGTTTCTGGCTCTGTGTGTGTTTGTGGGGCTTGGAGATGTTTTTCTATGAAACGAAAATCAGCAAATGTTTGGGGATTGCGCTTCACCACCTTATTCTTTTAGACTTGCCTCTCCAAATCAGGTCACAAAGTTCAAAAGGGCTGAATTGTTTTTTTCAAAACAAAACTGAAACACAGCAATAAACGATGCCGCAAGTACGATTCGTCACCCGCAAGTACGGAGACTAGGCAAATGTGTGTACTACTTATCATTCCCATGGTTGCTGAACGATCGCAGTGACAGAGTCCCCTCTAGTTAATTTTAGGAAACTCTATGCTGACGTCCTCATGCGGGAGACCTAAGGGGCTCGGTTAATGAAAGCTCTGCTAGACTACCAACAGGGTTGTTACGAACCACCAAACCGCGACTTTCCATAATCTAAACTGGTTCTCACCATACAGAAATGCGCTCTTACATTTTGAAGACTCAAAGCTCCAGATTTTAACTAGTGAACTCCAACACGTGTGTCATACAACCACTTAATCGCAAAATGTTGGTCATGAGTCCATCATCAGGTTTGTTTAGCCCATGGCCTCGTCATTGCAGGAGCTATCTGAGAGGGCATGGTTTTGCCTTTGGTTGTACCCCTAGAAGATGGACACGCACGTAACCCCATTTGCAGAATATACAAATGGAGGACGACCGTAAACATAGCATTTGAGGATGCGTAACAAAGTAGTGCAAAGCACAGGGAGCAAGAGATGAAGGCAAAATGCCACTTGAAAGGTGGAAATCGCCAATTCATTCGCCTTTGATAAAGCAAACGTAGCACTCATCGTAAGATACATAGCTAACTAAATTGATCAGATATGTACTTTATCGCTTTGGCATTACATATGTATCCTTATCACAGAATTCACGTGGCAGTGCTTGCCTCGAACTCAACGTCATGCGATGTTCGCTTGCGCTTGCGAGTTGCAGAGCACCGAAGTATTTTAAACATCTTTTGCATTGTGCCCGCAGATCCGATCATAAGCTTCCTGCTTTTTTGAGACATCTAGGGATGAAAGAAGCTTTCCAGATTCTTGATTTTCAGAAAACCGTGCCTGAACACGAACGAAAAAGGGGGTTGTATTGTGGCCTATGCACGTTTGCTTATAGACGGCTTTCATTGCGCTACCCAGTTAGCAGCATGGCAGCAATGAGTGCGCTGGTGGCGGTTTTTTTCGCAGTGCCGCCTGGGTGGGGTCTGACGTCTATATCATTGTCAAGCTCGTTTTGCCAAGTGATAATTTGTGGGAAAGATTTCTAGGTGAAATCTGGTTTTATTTTTTCCTGTGTGCTTTGGTGTCAAATGAATAAAAGTGGGCACCATCTGCTTCCATATATAGTCCGTACACTACAAAATTTAATTGTTCAAACTTGCGTAGTATGTGGACTATAGTTAAGAGAATACAGTGATCCATCCTTATATTGTGTAGCACTCCCTGTTCGATAAATACATTGTTTTTTTTTCGCCTATACAAAAGTGCGTCGCATATAATGCCCAATGTATTATGTGATAATGAGACTCGAATGTCTATAACTCTTGAATGCTTTTGGGATGGGGTCTTGTACAGTTTATGAATTATAAATTATAGTTTTACATCGTGAGGTTATGCCGAGAATTTGGCAGATACTGTTGTGGTTTAGACCAGGCTACTCTCATGCCAGGTGGTTGTCTAGTGTGTGGCCAACTAGATTGGTTTCTGGTTTTTTGTTGTGGTGAAATTGAGGTTGCTCAGTTCTGTCTGAAATTGGGTTAAAAATATTCAGTTATGTGTACACATAGTGTACTCAACATTTAACTTCTTGTATAGTGGACATGAGTAGTAGAATAATAAGTAAGGATGTTCAGATTAACATAACTAAGAAAAATGATGTAAAGCTAAAACCATTAGTATTAAAGAGATGGCAATAATTTGAGATGGCCATATTTTATTAGTCATGGTAATCCTTGTTCATAAAAAGTTTAATGTTTGTGCCATAAAAGACAAGATTGCATGTACACTGCCCATGAGCTAATATGCGACAGTTTAGGGATAAGTAATGCCCATACCAATGTTTCTAGAGTCATCAGCTCATTTCATATTATTGTGAATTCATCTCAAACACAGAGTCAAAATTACCTTTAGTAGTCAGATTGGTAACAATCTAACGTAGCTATCACAAGCAGTTGCACATACAAGTCGTTTTACTAAATAGTTTACTAAATAAATAGTTTAAATAGTTTTACTAAATAGTAATAAATAGTTGTTTTACTAAAGGAGGCACATCAGAAATTTGTCTAGTGCAAGGGCAACTTATCTCAACAACGAAGTTGGAATGCTCACAAAATTACCTGATACTATATTCATAGATCATGCACTGGAATCTATGACGCAGCTCTTGCTTTAGGACATTTGATGGATATTGTTACATTTTTGAAGGTCCTATGACGCGTATGCGACAAATTTGTAACTTGAAACATGGTTACTTTTATTATTCCTTTCTTTCAAAATGCTATCTGTATGGTGCATATGGTGGGCTTTGTGGGGCAAGAATTGTATATTTAATGCACATTTTGTGCATTGTATTTACCAGTTGTATACAAAAATGGAAGGACACAAATATAACTGTTAGCAGAGTGCAATTACGAATTATACTGCTCACATGCTGGACTTGAAAAGCTACAAATTTGGTACTAAAAAGTTTATATAATGCAACATTCTTGCGTTGAGAGGTGTCTTTTAGTGAATTTGTTTGAAGACATAGATCACTGTGGCACATATATGATTCAAAGGAGTTGAGAATGTGTTTCTACTGACATTTATAAATTGACATGGTGAGTATGTTCACGTGGTTGGTCGTTACATTAAAAGTGCATCTTATGGTGTACTTGATTTCAAAAATATGCATGCACTTTTGTTTACTTTTTGTACTAGAATCAGGGGTTCATGTTAAACATGCCTATTTTGGGTCACATGCACTATTTTCATTTTGTATTTTACTTGAAGAGAGAGCCCTTGGTCGTCACTGATATGTCAGTTTTACAAAGTCCCGGTTTGTAACATGCAAGTGGTTTTGGTGTCATTCATTTCATGCATTTTGATGTATATAGCGAAGTGTAATGTTCCCACCTATATTTGTGACAGCCCACATGTTATAAAGCACGCCTTAACATTCGAAGTTGTATACATGTAGTCAATAAAATCCTATATTTTATTATTATGTTGCACATATTTGTTTTTGGTGCTGGCATTGCACTTTTGTCAGGACTAAGTGATGCAACATCGCTTCACCTGGGCAACCGGGAAGCTCTCCAGAATTTTCGTAAAGTTCAGTATCCTTGTCTAAGTGTTCTCACGAGTAGTTCATCAAGATGTAATAAAAATAAGTTCTGTTCATAAAGAAGTACTTTTCGTTGGTCCCCGTTACTAAACTTTGAAGTTATTTTTTTTAATTCGAAGCATTTCTTTGTGTACTGCAAGCACTTCTGGTGTCCATCTGCGTATCTGTCTATCTAGCCTCTTATCTCTGGGGGCTCTCGTGATCGCCCCATTAACTTGGCGTGAACCAAATTTAGTATGGGAGGGTAAGATGGTCTGGTGAATATGACGCGCTGGTGAAGACATAAATAATGTCACAATCCCGTCGCGTACATCGCCAAAAACTTCCCGCCAGACAGTGGCACATACCCGCGGGCCACTGGTATCTGGGTATGTGCCGCTGGTGATTGACATTTATTATGTACAAAAGATTGGCGAAAACACACATGGGTAATTTCAATGCATGAGCGTAAAAAAAAAAAACTTGACATCGGTAGCGTTGACCCGATGAATGCAAAGAATCAATCTCAGGATCCCAGCAACTATCAAACCACAGCATTTTGCGTTACAATCAAACATTCTACCACAAAGCCACGCCAAGTCTCGGAACTACTTTTCAAAACGACCCCAATGTTCGTGAAACGTCAGTTGTGGTCACAGTGCTGGCTATCCGATTTTACGAACATTACGCGAATATGTGTGATACAGCCGTCACGTCGGGTTATCGTCAATTGTAGCTAGGTGCCATGCGCTGAAGTTTATTCACGTAGCAGTGTCCAGGGCTACCATCCTCGCGAGCACCAGCGCTTTATATCAGCTTATCGCTTCTGGTGTTGCTAATACTCGTGCTCCTGTTGGCATCGTGGTGCAAGTGCAAACAACAGGTTAGATAAACATCTGCAACTCTTCAACATATGTCTGTGCGTGCAACATTGGTACATATATTTAGTGCCATTTCATGACGTGCCGCCCAATGAAAAAATATAAAAAAACTGCAACTCGGTAACCTTCCCTCCGCGTGGTTCGCATAACCTCGATCATCCAAGGTACGGGGGATCTGCTGAATTTTTTGTTTCAAAGTGTACGGCCGAAATTACGTTGGAACACTTACCGTTACACCGCTTTGCCGAGGCTAAGGACAAGACGCTAGGAAAAAGTTTTGGCTTTATTTATTATTACTTTGCAATAAATTACATTCGCAGTGAGAACAAGGAGCTCCGAAGGAATACTATGGCAGACAGGATTCGATGTCTCTCTCTCTCTCTCTTTTTTTAAATTGGACAACGCAAGTTAAAGGCTAGAAAGGGAACTGCTAAGCCAGTGTCAAAGAGATGACATTGGGGAGTTCTCGAATAGGGGCTCCAATAGTTTTGGCGCCCCTAAGAAATATTGTCGAGGCCACTACGCATGCGCGAGACCCAGAAAAGCATTTTTAGCTTTGCTTTGAGGACACTATATCATTTTTCGAATTCAGCGGGAGACCCAAAGCCTGTTCGAAAAGCTTTGCGTCAAACGAACACGACGGCACCTACTTAAGCGACGGCTCTTGGCGCGACTCAGAATATATAGGGGGAAGTGCCGTAGACACTTTTCGAAAACTCTTATCTCCTGCTTAACCTCAAGCGAGTACACGCAAAAAGTTTAGGGGGCCCCTATTCGTAAACTCTCCGTGCAGTTCTCACATGACCTTAAATGATTAACTTTTTTGATTAATTTAAATGACACAAAGCAACACGATTGCCATGAAGGGACGAGCGGCACTGCTGGATAAATCTTTGACCACATAACCCGTCGCGTTTGTCTTGTGGTTATGGTGGTTGACTACTGACCAGACGGCCGCTTTCAGATGGACGTTGAATGCTAGAGGTCCGTGTAATTAGATTTAGGGTGCACGTTAATTAACACCAGATCATCAAAATCTGTACAGCCCTCTATTACAACATCCTCCATAATAGCATCGCGATTTGGTGACGTGAAACCCCAACAGTTGGTTACGACTATAGAGTATAAAGTTGGGCATGTTGGTAAGACATACTTAATCGACGTAAGACATACTTCATCCCTTCTGTCCCTTCCCTTGTCCTATGTTTCAAAACGCGCTACGTCGATTAAGTTGGTTACGCTGTGGGGGTTTAGTGGTTACGACGTTCACCCGCTGACCCGAAAGTGGCGGTTTCGATCCTGGCAGAGATTGCGTTTCGACGGAGTCGGTGTGCTAGAGATAATGTGCGCTGTCACTGCTTGTTGAAGGACACCAAATGCTCGAAATTTCCGAAGCCCTCAACTCCGGCGTCTCTCAAAATTGTATCACGGTTTTGAGAACGCTAAAACCCGCAAATTTGTAATAGAACCTCAACAATTAATTTTAACCTCGTGTGGTTGTCTGGAGCATGTCAAAAGCTTTGTTGCCTGCAGGAGTTACTGTAGTGTGTAGCCGTCGAATAGGGCACCGTGGCTGGGATCCCAATGCGAGGCATCATATTGGAGACTTTATTATCGTACCCTATACCACATCATATGGTGGTTTTGTGTCGTTATACCCCGCATATCAATCAATCAAATACGAATCCGAAACCTTGTAATATGCCGCAGAACGTCTAGCATCAAAGCCTGCTTGGCTAGGTACCCTGGAAAGCTTGTGAACTGACGCATTAATTGTTTTGTGTCACCTTATAACAAACCAGCTGCGATAGAAAGCATTATTTGTAGATATTATTGAAATCAATTAGCATTGGCTGGGAAGAGGCCTATTGTGCGAGGTACCCCACTCGGTAGAATGAGTTATCGCGTAATGTCCCATGAGGTGCAGTGTGGAGCCAATGTTTTTTTTTTCTGGCTGTCATTTATGCAGAACTGAAAATTAGTAACAGCGGGGAAGAGGGTCATGGGGGAGGGGGTCACAACGGCATGAATAGTAATATATTGCAATTACGTGTTACCACTCACTTTACACGGTAAGCTGAATGTAAAAACAATCTTCATCCCGCCACTAGCATTCCAGTCTAGCTCATAAAACGAACGCTCACAAATAAGCCAACTTTGCTGTTTTAATATTTCATTGGCTCGCTATTCCAAGTATCTTCTCCTATCAGATCGTAGTTAACAGGCGAGATACAGCTTTGATTAAATTTTCTTCTTTTTTCTACGTAAAATAGGAAAGACTTGTTGCTTTGTAAATGTATGGAGAAATTTGTTTTCTTTGTTTTAAGTTTCATTGCAGTTATAAAGCGGCCTTCGCGCCGCAAGATTACGTTGCAAAACAACAACAACAACAACAACAACAACAACAACAACAACAACAACAACAACAACAACAACAACAACAACAACAACAACAACAACAACAACAACAACAACCATATCTTTAAGGGAATGCATATGTTCGCGAAATTTTTTGCGGACAGTTTATGTATTTAAAAGTTCACTTCGGGGCTCTTAAAGCTCAAATTTTCAGTAATGACTTTCCACGCCCAGCTTTGTTCAACAAATCAACGAATTTACGATTCGGAAATGTGCCAAGTATCACAAATCCCATCTAGGGAGCAATGTCTGTAAAGCTGGCTTCTGCAAGTAGCACACCATCTGAACAGAAAAGTACCCTTGCGGGTAGTGAAGCTCCGTTTTTGTTGCATTTGTTTTGTTCTCTTCTTATTAGTGATTTATTTACAGGAAAAGCTGTGTTTCTTTTACAACAAGCTTATCGTAGAGGCTTAATTAGTTTGGTCAGGTTAGCTTACACTCCATTCATGATGATAGAGACAACACAAACAATAGTTCAAACTTTCGAATAGCTGAAGTACCGTGTATAGCATAGCACGTGGAAGAACAGATATGTATTCAATGTTCTCAAGCTTTGAATTTTAACTGAGTTGATAGAACAATGGACGCCAGCAGTAGCAACGTCTGATACATGCTGTTCTGTTGTCCTGATGCTGTACAGTTCTGATGTGGTAGTTTGCCGAAAAATTAGTAAATAAAGAAATATCGCGTTTTCTTTTTGTTAAATCTCTCCTAACACAGGACTATTCAACGACGTAGTGTACAGCGAGCTTGGCGAAACTGTCTGACATAATTATTGCTTGTCGACTGTACGGTGGCACGACCGATTCTAACTTGGCAGAAGAAGCAGCTTGACACGGCACACTGAACAAGTCCGCCGAAACTGGCAGAACGAGGTCGCAGGTGAGCTAAACGCGAGCTCGTTGCCAGGAATGCCAAATGCGGACTCGGCAAGAACGAAACTGTCGCGTGAGGCTAGAACGACGCGCCGGTGGGCACCGCGGACGCAGAGCGAGAGGTCGTCCTCCTCTCCCAAAGCGCGTCGTCCGCAGCGCCCCCTCACCGCGTTCTCTCTCGCGGCTCTGCTCCGCGGATCAGGCCCGAGAGAGTGGGGCTCTCGTACAGTACCCGGTGTATTATCGGTGCTCGTTGCGTGTGTTTTGGGATGCGAACCGGCCGGCCGCCCTCGGATTCTTGCCGCGGCCCCATGACTGGACTCTGACGGCTTGCACGCGTCGCCGAGAAGAATACCTCACGGGAGGAATCCGAATGAGAAGACTGGAGCGGGAGCGGCCAGCAGCACCGAGCGCCGCCGCCGCGGTGGGCCTCTTCGATCCCGTGGCTGCTCTGCTGCTCCTCCGTCGTCGACCGCACCGATGCCCGCCACCGGGCCTGCCGGCCGCTGTGTGTGATTGAACCGACGGCTCTAAACAAGACCCGCGGGCAAAACAGTGCGCTACTAAACGACGTGACGTGCCCATTCTGCAACCTCTCTTGCGGTGCAGCCTCGCCGCTGCTGCTTTTAGTTTCCTCGGCCGCCTCCCCCCGGCCCCCTCTACTCGGCGTATCCTCCCCGCTTTCCCCAACTTTTTCCCGCTCGCGTTGGTGTGTGCGGTGATCGTACGACGACGATGGTCCGTCGAGATCGGCCGGCAAGAAGGCCTCCCCGTGAGACTGCGACGCCGGAACAGCCGCACCATCCCGGCGTTGCGTTCGGGAGCCGCACGTCGACCCGTGGAGCGGCCACTGCAGCGGCGGCCTCCTGCGGCCTGTCCGAATGCGCTAACCCTCGTTCCGAGCTCCGGCGACGCTAAGCCTGCCGCGCGAGCCGGGGTCTGCCTTCGGCCGTCAGTGGTCGCCGCCCGGCTGGAGTCGGGCCTAACAGACGACGGCCCTGCGGGTCGACCGCCGCTACCGGGACTCGAGGAGAAGCCGCGCTAGCAGAGTGTACGCTTTTAGGCCTGACTGAGGAGAGGGGGGAGGAGGAGGCCGTCTTGTGTTGTTTCTTTCCGCCCCGTCGGAGACCGGTGGCCGTGGGTGCGAGTCGGTGTGCTCAGGCCTGCCGGCGGCCCTCGCGTCAGCGCGTCCGCCCAGCGGTAAGCCCTGCCCCAGGGACGGCCGGCGGCGCCCGGACGGTGCGGTGACATGGCAAGCTGGCGTTGGGCCGGGGACTGACGCGTCCCGCTGACAGCCGCCGGGCCAGGAGCGTCGCGTCGTCGGGCGCGACATCGGCGTCCGTCTCCTGCGGGGTTCCAAGACGCCGCTGGGACGCGGCCCCGTCATCGCCACCGGCTCGCTGAGCGCAAGCGGTGGCGAGCTGCTTTCGGTGCTGCAGAAACATGGCTTCGTCGGCAGCCAAGCCTAACATGGGCGTCGGTTCGAGTGAGCCGCAGCAGTGCTCCTCCGAGCCCGAAGAGGAAGCCAGTCCGACGTCGGCCGCTGGCGCTGAGGGCTCCTCCCAGCAGCAGGACGAACAGCAGCAGCAACAGCAACAGCCGGAGTACGAGACGGGACACGGCCACTACTTCACCAAGCGGACTTTCCACAAGCCCACGTACTGCCATCACTGCACCGATATGCTCTGGGGACTCATAGGTCAAGGGTACATTTGCGAAGGTACGTGATCCTTTTCCCCTCGGTGCTGTTCGGTTCGAAAAAAGTGCTCTAAGCAGCGCATTGCTTTAACCCAGTCGCGGAGGCAGCTTGGCCCTAGCCTCATTGGACTATGGATGACCTGTCCAGAGCACACGCACTGTCGTGATATCGTTCCAAGCTCTTTTAGTGCTTTGAAGCATTTAGACTTCAGTTCTTTGGTAAGCATTACAGAATGTCCAGGGAAGCACTCATTACCAAAAAAAAAAAGCGATTGCGAAAACTAAACCTTTGACGCTAGGCCTAGACCACACGTTGATACTATGCGTTTAAGCTATGCCATTCATTAGTGAACAACTTGTACTGTCACTCATTGTATCGGTTCATGTACTGCGTTTATATGCAGGAAAATGTTGTCCAAAACTTTAAACTTTCGTTCTGAGAAGAAAAGTTTAATTGATACACTGGAAGCGCACAATGTTTGACGCGCATAAGGCCGGGATGTAGGTCTGAAGTTGACAGCATGTTCAGAGACGCCATTTTTTTTTAAAGAAGTGTACGTTGAGTGCACAGCCAGCGTTAGTTATTGCATAGTTTACGTTTGCTTATATTCGAGAAAACACTGCACACGATTCTAGCATGCCCACGCTAGGCTCTGTCGTACAATACCACCTGATTACACTTTGAACACGTTTTTATTGACGACGGAAACGTTCACACGAAAGGATATAAGTTAAACTTAAATCAACACTATAGGCGCACGCAGCGATCCTCGGCTGCTTCACATTTTAGCATGGCGAGTAGGCCTAATTTAGGAACATTACTTCCCGGCTTCTTAACCAGGCGTTTGACCCGTGCTCATGGAAGTCTTCGCAAACCATTTTTCTCAATATCATGAGAACCCCTACCACCCTTTTGGATCGATGACACTGCTATAAATGTGTTTCGAGCGGTCTTTTTAAAGGAATTAGAGGTAATAACAGCGACGGCGCTATAAAGAGCAGCAAGGGCTTCGCCTTCATCAGCCGACAGCTTGAGGATTGAAAGGAAAAACGCGCGACCTTTTTCGAACCATATAGGCTTCACAAGAACGCACGTGGCTCACTGATTCTTGCCATCCCTTCGCATTACATTACAGCCAATGGAGGGTGGTCAGCTCGTTATGGTAGAAAGTGGTGCGTCAGAGTTTCTTTATAGACTAGCACGGCGTCCGTGAAAACTTTCGGCGGTGCCAGCCACTGCGTATGCGTACATCAGGAGAAAGTTGCTACTTGATTACCGTCCGAAGTCTGATCCCTGCATTACAGCCACACCATTGATAAAAAAAAGTACATACGCTTTAATGTATTCACTTGTCAACGTACGCCGTTTTTCAAGCCTTTTTTGGAACACTTGACAACTCAGCGTCCTTCGCGGAAACGTATACGGTCTCGTTATGCAAATGAACGCGTTGTTTGCCGCGGACGGCCCGGGAAAGCATGCCGGGATATAAATTTAACGTCGTATACTGTGTGCCATGATTAGAATACAATGCTTTATTTGTATAGCAGCGTTGTAATTCTTAAAAGGCAGAATGCAAACTGTGTTTGGTCTCTGCTTCCTGTTTTTTTTTTTCGTAGGTTGCCATGGCTACTCACCTCTTTTTAGGGAAAAATGAGTGTTTTTTTTTTGCTCCATAGCAGGTGGTCTTAGTACGTGGAGTCTATGTGTTTGTTTTAAGCTTCACTGGCTCCGTCTCTTTTTACTTATCTTTCTCTTTCAATTTGTTTCATCTAAATCTTTGCTATCTTCTGTAGTGCTGTGTGATCATTTTCCAGTTACGAATAATAATAATAATAATAATAATAATAATAATAATAATAATAATAATAATAATAATAATAATAATAATAATAATAATAATAATAATAATAATAATTTGGAGGCAACCCTAATTCTTCCCTCGCACTTTGACGTTTGCGTGCCCTGTTGTATTCGTTGGGTTCAGTTCATGTTATGCGTCGTGCTGCCCACACAATTCTCATAGGTCACGTAGAAAAAAAAAAAAAAAGAAGCTCGCGGTTCAGACGTGCTCCGCCCGGTGTTGCCACCATCCTAACTGCTCACAAAAAAGCTTCTGATTTTTCGATCGACTCATTCAAATATTTGCATTAGTTACCCAGACAGTTAACTGTTGATTATCTTCCGCGCACTTTGCTCCGATGTCGTATGTATGCAACATAACCGTTATCTCGAAACGGAACCATGCATTACGTTGCAGTTTTATTATTTAAAAAACAAACACGTTGATCGAATATTCCGAAAAGTGAAAGTATAAGCACTTGACCGGAAGTGCTTGAAGCAAAAACAAGCGTGTTGCTCGTTGTTCATGCCACTAACAATAGCAATGAGATGGCCTAGTGTTAAAAAAGAAAGCGGCTTGAGAACGCTGATGCTGTGGATGTCATTCATGTAAACGTTTAGGTAGAGTTTATTTCTTCACCAAGAGCAGTGTAGCCAGGCACGGCGCGCTGTCATTCCAACCAGTGTTGCAACAGGAAACCTTGAGCAGCCTGTTTTTCACTGCGAACTTAGACAAGGCACCAGTTGAAAAAGTTGCATGCTTTTCAAAGGAAAATGAGCCAGGGATAATTACTCGCGCAAGCGTTGTGGAGGACATGGTGTGTGTGTGCGGGGGGGGGGGGGGGGGGGGGGGTGTCACGCTATGTCTCGTAACAGCGGCGCCTTCCAATCTTCGGTATGTTTGCCCCGCCGCGGTGGTCTAGTGGGCCTGGCTAAGGTACTCGGCTGCTGACCCACAGGTCGCGGGTTCGATTCCCGGCTGCGGCGGCTGCATTTCCGATGGAGGCGGAAATGTTGTAGGCCCGTGTACTCAGATTTGCGTGCACGTTAAAGAACCCCAGGTGGTCAAAATTTCCGGAGCCCTCCTCTACGGCGTCTCTCATAATCAAATGGTGGTTTTGGGACGTTAAATCCCACAAATCAATCAAATCTTCGGTATGTTTAAATGCATGACCGTTTTGCATTGCGGTGGAGCTGACCTAATTTCTCCTTTTCCATAGGATGGTTCTAAAACTTTTGCTACCATCTTCTGTGGCATATGCACGTGGGCGTATTTTTTGCAGGCTTGCATATTTGAAAAAAAAATAACAAACGTGCCAAGAAAGAGGTTGAATGTGGCTGCAGTATCTATAACTAATTGGCAAGCTGTTGAGATCAAATTGGCGTGGCCCTTTAACCCGTTCTTTGCCAGGGAGAAATAAAAGGTGCCCAATTTCATGCTGAATCTCCAAAGCTGAGTGTAGGGCTCAGCTTTGGAATTATGATGCAGCATAATTTCGAAGTTTCACAGGAGCGTAGAACTAGGACTAACTCTGTGTCTCTTCTTTGTTCGTCCTCTTTCTATGCGTTGTGAAACCTCAAATCATGCTGAATGTTGCCTTAATTTGTGACCCCCCCCCCCCTTTTTTTTCTTCTCTAACTGCAAGGGTTCTCATAACACCTATTCGTCCATAAGAGGTCCCCGAAATTTCTTTGGCTGGGAACCACTGTAATACGTTGTCGATGACCGTTCACAAAATTGCTCTTTTCATTGCCTTAATCTTTTCTCCCACTTCGATTTTCCGCAAAAGCAGGATGCACAGCCAATGAAACGCGGTTTTGTTTAGCCCCGCCATGGTCGTCTTGTGGCTACTCGGCTGCTGACCCGCAGGTCGCAGGATCGAATCCCGGCTGCCGCGGCTGCATATTCGATGAAGGCGAAAATGCTGTAGGCCCGTGTGCTCAGATTTGGGTGCTCGTTAAAAAACTCCAGTTGGTCGAAATCTCCGGAGCCCTCCACTACGGCTTATCTCATAATCATATGGTGGTTTTGGGACGTTAAACCCCTCATATCAATCAATCAATCAATAGGTTTTGTTTAACCTCGAGCTTGCTTTAGTTTATCGCATCGTCTTTTTTTTTATTCGAGCGTAATTTAAAAGAATATTTAGTGAATTGTGTTTTTTCTTGTGAATAAAATGGTGAAAGCTCCATCTTTGGGTGCTATTTAGGATGACCCGAGCTTCTTGGGCAGACGAGCTTGCTCTGAGCTCCATGGCATGAAGACAGTGCGGAGCGCGTGATAGCAGCGTTGTTAAAAATGGCTAAAAAAAAAAAAAAAACTCGCGTGGCGTCGGAAACGCATGTGGGACACTTGCGGCGGTTATCAAAGAAACACGACGTTCGAACCCGTCAGCGCCGCCACTCAGTCAGCATTTTAACAGTGCAGCGAGGTCAGCGTGATTGTCGCGCTATCTTTTTGCCAACTCGGTACGCGCCTCCCACAGGCGTCTTCGTGGGCGGTTGTATTTTTTCAGGCAGGTTCTTTCGTTCCACCTGCAGCATGAAAATTTCTACTCTATAGAAGGCAGCAAGGGGGGCAGCAGGGGGTGTCAGGGTGCCAGCAGCACTCTCGTGGGGCTCGTTTCGCTGCTATCAAACATTGCAGATAAATATAAGGACAGGTGGTCACCAGGGGCGCTCGAATCATGGCGCAACGTGGCTGTGAGCATAGAGATTCCTAAAATTAACTAGATGAAACTCTGGCGTTGTGATCGTTCAGCGAACGTGGGAATGATGGGTGATACTCGGATATGCTTATGGTGTTCGTACTTTCGGGCGGCGAATCGCACTTGTGGCTTCGTTTATTGCTGTGTTTCGGTTTTGTTTCGAAAGAAAAAGGAAGAACCTTTTTGAACTTCGTGATCCGCTTTGAAATGGTAAGCCTAAAATATTAGTGTGGTGAAGCGCAACCGCTGGACATTCGCTGATTTTTGTTTCGCGAGAAAACAGCTTCAAGCCACACGAATACTCACGGAACCAGAAGTACGAATATTAGACAAATTCGTGTACTACCCATCATATTCTCATGCTCGTTGAAGCGCCGCGCGTTGCAGCTCCCATAGACACTAGCGCCAGAGTTCCCTCTAGTGCATATTTAGGAAACTCTACATATGACTGCGAGTGGATACGTTGTGAGCGCG